AACCGTGGTTTCTCCTTCTTCTCTAACCTTTGTGGCATTTTCTTGAGGCTGCCATACATTTCACACCTTGTCCTTGGTGGGCAAAACCATGAGCAACCGGGTTTGGTGGTGCGAGAGGTTGAGGTTTTCGGTTGTTGATTGGTGGTGTCGACTTAGTGGTTTAATCTGAGCTCGATTCTTCATGTTATTGAAGGCCCAAAACTCACAGTATTCAAATTGGACTTTTATGTGTCCAAGAACGACCAGGAGATCGACCAACAATGCAATCAGGGCTTAAGATGTTGGAAGGAGAAGTTCCGTCATTGCCACAACCGTTGCCACCTCCATATGTTGAAAATGAAACATACTTTGAAGACGAATCACATTGACTCCATCAATAATGTAGCTATTACAGAGTTAGTGGGTGGATAGAAAGCATGTCTGCAAGACTGCAACCTTTTTGGTTCAATTTGAAGGTGTCTTTAATATGATTGCCCACAAAGAAACATCATTAATCTTATGAAGGCAAAACCAACTGGTGGCTTGTTTCGTCTTTCTGTCGCATTTAGATAAAATCTATAATAGCTGAAAGAAGGATTCAATCTGTTTTCTAAGGGATTTGCAACTGATCGTGAGAAGAATATGGTGGCGGGATTTTGGAATGATAAATGTTCAAAAGTGGGAAATGCAAATAAGTAAACTTAATGAGAATTTTTCAACCACAAATTTTTCAATAAAATAATATTTTTCATCACATCAATAACTTTTCATTTTTTTTCAACCATACATTCTCCAACAATTTATTATTCCAAAATATATTCTTCCAAAATAATGTGACTCAAACACACCCAAAAATAGAATTCTGAAAAGAAAAATTATAAAAAAGAAAGTAAATTATAATTTATTATAATTATGGCCATGTTTGGGCTACATTATTTTTTTTTATTCTAATTCTTCTACTCAGTTTTAACCAAGTATTTTTCAATAAAATAATATTTTTTATCACATCAATAACTTTTCCTTTTTTTTCAACCACATATTCCTCATCACATCAACAATAAAAATACATTCTTTTTCTAAAAATGTGCACCAAACGGGGACATATGTTTACCCCATATCTATACAAATAGTACAAATTTGTCCTCTTTTAATTGATGGTTTACCTACTAAGCTCCTATTTGATCCCATTATTTTTAGAATATATTTTTTTCTCTTAGGGTCCGTTTGATTGCATCTTGGAAAATTGGGTGGAAAGAATATGAATTATAGGGAAAATAATTGCCTAGAACTTGTTTTCCTGAGAAATGTCAATTAGTTGCGTTTGATTGGTATAATTTTCCACCTAGAAAATGTTAAAATTTTCCAACTTTTGATGTTTGATTGCTTTTGTTTTCCATGAAAAATTATGAGGTTTTCCATCGGAGCTGTTTGATAGGATTTGTTTTCCATCAACTATTGGTGTTTAATAGCCATTTATAATTTCTTAGAAACCATGAACAAAAGATAATACAAAACATTGGTTTAACATTGAATAATATAAAGAAAAATAATGTCTCACCCGAGTAAAATCATGTTTAACCCAATAGTATTCATTGCATTTATAAATACAAAGATATTTTTGAGCTTATCAACCAGCATATCCTTGAAAGGCCAATAACACAAATTCATTTAAAAGAGTAGCTAAATATGCCTTATTAGCTGAAATGTTTAACTTCCTACATACTAATCAAAGAACTTCCTACATAAACATTAGAGTCCAACCCAAGCTTCACTGCCAAACCATGAACCTGAAAGCCATATTCATAGTTTGCTAAGTACGCAATAGCACTCAAAACACTTCCTAGTGTGGAACGTGTTGGTTTGAAATCAGCTTTGATCAAACTTTGGAAAAGTCCAATAGCTTCCCTCTCATGACCACCATTGACATGCCCTGATATAAGTACATTCCACGCAACAATCTTTGGATTAGCCATTTGAGAAAACAACTGGCAAGCATCATCAAGTCGTCCTAGCCTCACACATGCATTTAAGGTGGTTACAAATGCTACCTGATTCGGCATGTGACCTCCTGTTCTCATCTCCTCAAACACTTCCATTGCCTGCTCAAGCAAACCAACTTGAACATACCCCGAGATCATGGCAGTACAAGAATTGAGCTAAGCCCCAATTCTCCCTGCGTCAATTTGAAAAGGCTAAGAATGACAGGGACACCGATAATTTCTCTAGTTCTAGTGTTCAATGGAAAATTGCCTTTACACCCTGCACCTATGGAAACCTCCCACCAACCACATTCATTATTGCACCATTACTGCAATTCAAGTTCTCCATTAACTGGGCGTTTGAAATTGATTTGGTAGTAACAAAGTCCATTAGAGGAGGAAGACATCCAGCTAGAAAGATATGTGAGTTGATAAACGAATTCTCACTTGTTTACCTATGTGCCAGTTCAATTTCCAAAGGACAGAATCAAACAGGAACTGCCCCTTTTGTTTCAGGATTAGGGTAGACCAATCTGCCTAAGCAACTACCTCCATTCCTGACACACAACCCCTCCCAAGCCTAGAAATTAATACACCAATAATCCAACCTTCATCCCAAACTATTTCTGTTCTTTTTACACCAATAATCGAACCTGCATCCCAAACTTTTCAATGCCATTTTTTACTGACAATAATTTGATTATGTCGAATTGAAATGTCATAATGTAATAGTAACTCAAAGCTACGGTACCTGAAAATCGATCTGAATAGGTGGTCGAGTCGAAGACTTTTTTTCCGTTTTATTGTTGAAATCAACTCCCCTTCAGCACTGAATGTTGGCTCGATTCGTCCAGGAAATTGTTCTTATTCTGCAAAGAACACAGGATACCCAAAATGAATCCTAATCAAGAAAAAGGAAGAAGGAACAAGCCGATATGTGCAGGAAAAAGCATCTGCATATTTTCTATATTCTGATCTTTACAAAAGGAGTCACAGACC